GGTTGGCGCAGGATAGAGCAGGGTTTAGAGCTGTTGTGCATAGGGTTGCTATGAGTCGGAAATGACTCGATGGCACATAACAACAACAACAACAATCTTCTTTCAAGTTTCCATGAGTATAAACCTTTATGGGTGGAGATAGCCTCCAATTTCTACTGGATGAAAACTCAAGACCTTCTGCATTATTATTGGCAATTTATGATAGTAGAGAGATACAAGTGAAAACCAGGCCAGCTACAGGAAGACGATATATTCATAGTTGTGGGAGTGCAAACACAAGGCTTCTGGTTGTTCTGTCCCCATGGAATTTTGGAGAATATAACCTTCTCCTTGCTGTAATATGTCACAGTACCCAAATAGTATTGTCAGCCAAGGAAATCCACTCAGCCTTTGGAATGTAGAGTTTTTCCACTGCCTACATAACTGATCTTGACTCTCTAGCCTGTTGAACATCAGACTAAAGCTTTCAAGTTTCCATTTCCTTTAGAGGTTAGAACTTATTTGACATAGCTTAAAGTCCTTATCATAAATCACACTGTTGATCTCCACGGACAGGTGGGACTTGTAATCGCCTGAGTGCTAAAGCTGCTTATGGAGGCATAGAAAGGGAGCTTCACCTTTAAACTCTGAGCACTCGACTTCTCTGCTGGTTTAATTGCCTGAGCTGGGAGAAGAAAAGGCCAATGGCCTAACTCAGTGTTAAGCATCTCACAAACTACTCCCTACGCCCAGCAACAAAATGGCAGGGGATCTAAAGAATGGTAACCCACAAACATGGTATTTACCAGACTGTTAATAAAGTAATAGGGGGGAAAAGGGAGTTATATAGTTAAATGCAATCAAGATTTATTTTTTCCTTCTATGAGAAAAATATGATGCCAGACTAACTAGATTTGAATCTGTATATGTGTTTTCAGCATTATATAGTGTATGGTGCCCTGGTGGCCTTAGTGGCAAGAAGCTGTGCTACAATCCTGAAGGCACATGGTTCGAGGGCACCAGCTGCTTCACGAGAGAAGGATGGGCAGTTTCCTCCTGTGTGAGACTCTGTCTCTGAAAACCCACTAGAGGGTCAGCTGTGGGTCGGTTCTGACTCAAAAGTACACAACAAAGCAGTGTCATGTGCAGTTTTTATGTCAGTACATGACCCAGGGAATAATCTAAATGTTATCTGTAGATTATTTAATAATAATCTGCAAGTGCTTGCTTTATCCTATCCAACATGTACTTTTCTTGATCAATCTGTGGGTGGGGGACCTTATTTTCTCTTAGAAGGTGGCGCGCGGGAAAACAAAACAACCTTGCACATTAGGGTCTCTGTGAACACTGAGCGGTACGTGCTGTGAAGCTAGGTGAATACCCGACACGGGGAATCAATTACTGGGACTCCTTCTTCTAAAATGACACAAACGTTCTGTATGCAGAATTGAAAAAAAAAAAAAAAAAGAGCCTTGATGGCATAATGGGTAAGCACGTGATTGATAACCAAACCCCTCCAGCCATTCTGCAGGAGAAAAGACCTGAGAAGTGCTCCTGTTAAGATTAATGTCTAGCAAAGCCTCTGAACAGTTCAACTGTGTCCTGGGTCACTTGGAGTCAGATTCTGTTCAAAAGCACCTGACAGTAATACAAACTTGAAAATAAGAACTCAACCATATTTTCACTCTAATAGACATAACAGCATTATTCAAAAGAGTAAAAAAGTAGAAATAATTGTCTGTTAGAAGCTGAATGGATAAATAAATTTTCATATGTACATACGATGGACTGTCTTTCAAACATAAAAAGAATGATATACTATAACCAAATGAATCTTAAAAACCTAGATATAAAGGAGCAAATACTGTATGATTCTATTTCAATTAAATATCTAGGATAAGCAAAAATCATAAAGAAAGGAGATGAGGCAGTTCCATGAACTGAAAATGATGTCAGTTTAAACCTAAGGTATATTAGAGCTAAGCCATAGGCTTTCTTTTAAGCCATAGTATTTAATTGCTTCCTATGCATCTGAAATTTGGACAATTAATAATGATAACAGAAGAAGAAACCATACCTTTGAATTGTGGTGTTGAAGAAGAGTACTAAATATCCCATGGACCACCAAAAGAACAAACAAATCTGTCTTGGAGGGAGAGCAACCAGGGTGCTCCTTGGAAGCAAGGGTGTTGAAACTTCATCTCATATATTTTGAGTATATTGTCAGTAGTTGCTAGTCCTTGGAAAAAGATATGCTGGGAAAGATAGAGGGTCAAAGAAAGAGAGGAAGACCCTTAATGAGATGGACTGAAAGAGTGATTTTACCACTGGTTGGGTTCAAGCATGGAGAGGTTTGGGAGGAGGGTGCAGGATAGCAAGGTTCAGATCTGTTGTCCAAAGGCTGCCTATGAGTCATTGTCACTCAATGGTGCCTAACAAGAACAACTGGAACTGGAGAGAGACTTTTCATTTACAGAGTATGTTAGGGATTTTGAAAAGTTTTAGAAATAGACAGGTTACAAAATATTTTTTAATATAACTAAGAGTATGGAATTGGTTTAAAATGATAAATTGTCTTTATTTTTTAATCACAATAAAAAGTTGTATATAAAATAAAATCAAGAAATAAAGAATCTTTCACACAGACTCTTGAATATACTCTTAAAAGATGAAGGTTCCTTTAGAATAAGATGTCTAGGTAATTTTGGAAATAACAACTTAGTTTTTAAAAATTGACTAGAACAAGGTAGTTTTTGAACAACAATCTTTATTAGTTTATTTTCAAAGGAACATATAATCCTGAGCTACTGCATTTTTACATTTACCATTTATTCTTTGAAGTTTACATTTATTTTGTTCCAAACTCTCTGATAAGTATATTTTAAAATACAAATCAGGAGCATAAATAATTATTCTTATACCTGGAATAGCCAATTAATTTATTCAGATTATCTCATTATCTAATTCTACTACACTAAAGACTTTAAAATATTATTTTTCAATTAAGCAATTTCTTTTCAAAACTGCAGAGATGGGCAGTGCGAGAGCTGATTCTTTAAGTCCTAGTGAATGCTTAGAAAACTAGGTTGCTTTTTCTTTCTGATTTTTTTCTTTTTTAATAAACTGTGTAATTATCTGACCAGCTATATTTAAGAAGAATGGTTAAAAAGAATTAAGTCTAGTCTCAACATTTTAACTAATGTAAAATGTCACAGGCTCCTTTCACATATAAGAAATACATAATTATCTCAATAAGAAAAAAATGCATCATGGTCTAATGAAAAGAAGACAACCTATTGTAAATATACCTTTGTTAAACAGTCAAGAATTATAAAACATGTGACATATGACATACTTCCTAAGGCTATTTAAAGAAATACATACAGTTGTTTAACAATACATTCCACAAATCCAGACAAGAACTTCTATAATTGTTAAATAAAACAGACAAAAATGAAAGACAGGAAGTCCTGTGATCTTTGAAAAAAACCATTTATCCAACATTATTTCTGTGAACAAATAAATATTTTCACTTTTGCATCTTAAATTACTACCAAAATATCTTCTCTCTCTACAAACAACAAGAAAAAACAAAATAAAACACCAAGTGGACAGTGTCTAGAAATGGTTTTTCTCTAACAGTGTCAAGTCTTTGAAAGTACACTCAAAGTTTCTTCCTGAATAAGGTCATTATGATCTTAGGTTAAAGTTACAGTAAGCAGTCCAAGCACAATGCATATTGCTTAGTTATTAAAGCAAGCAATTTTCATATTACCTAATTAAAATGTAAGTATAAATGTGCAGCTATCATAGAAACATTATAAACACTTCTTGGGACTACAGTCATCTCTCTGTATCCAAGAGGGATTGATTTCAGGACATAAGGCAGACACTTAAGTTTTTTATACAAAATGAAGATGTTGTACATAACCTGTGCACATCCGCCTGTGCACGTGAAGTCATTTCTTGATTACTTAAATACGTATGCAATCATAAAATGCTATGCAAGTAGCACTTTCACTCCCTCTTAGCCTCTGAGCAATTGCTCTGACCATTTAATTGCTTCTTCCCTCATCCCAGTATTTTTTATCAAGGTTGACTTTGGTGATGCAGACACTGGATACAGAGGGCCGACTGTACTCACAAATTAGCAAGTAGTGAAATAACATATTAAAATAATGCCATATGATGTTATCTGCAAGGATTAGGGGAGAAATCCAAAAACATTTTTAAGAAATGTAAAATAACGTGAAAACACAACTTCAGTATTACTCAGAGCTTGAAAACCTAGCAGCAAACCAAATTATTTGCATATAATGTAGTGCAATCAACATTAGTTCATAAAAGATTCCCAAAGTCTTGAAACTACTATACATAAACCAAAATGGAGTCCATCAGGATAAACGATTTAAAGATGTCCAGAGTACCTTATCAAAATCTGCTAGACACGCTCACATTCATCATTCGATCATAAGCAAGTCTATGCAAAACTGTGCTCTGGATAACTGACTCTAATGGCTCCCCAATAACAAGCTCGAATAAGACAGATCAAACCCAAGAGGTAAGCAATTGCCCATGAAACATAGGTTGCATGAAACCGCCTGGAAAAATCTTGGGTGCCAACCTAAAAGAAAAAGCAACATAAAACAAAAAGTTAGAAGGTTTTCAAAGATACATCTACTAAGAGAACTTGGGTTACATGTGAGTTTCATGAGATTAAGCTCTAGACTATATCTACTGACTGTAACTGGTGGGATAAAATTTAATAAAATATTGTTGCTACCTCTATCAACTATAAATTCTATTAACTAAACCAGCAAATCCACTAAAAATGTGTTATTCTATGTCCCTCCTTAGTTTCAAGTAAACGGTAAAATATTGTTGGAATTGTGGGGCCAGTTGTACTGAGAAACAAAGAAGCATGGAAACAAATGGCAGAGGAGAAGCCTAGGCCAGCTTTTAGTTTGAGCCTCCTCACCAAAAAAAAGAAACAATCCTATAGATAGGTATCAGTATTTGTTTACTTTAAATCAAAAGAAGAATTTTTATTTAAAAAGCATAACTAAATGATTATTGGCTCAGATACAAGAAATCTTAGAGCAATGCAAATTTGATTCTGGAAGCAAAAATAAAGCTTATTAAAAGCATGCTATATTCCCCAATATCAGAACCTTCAGTGGGTTCCCCTGATACCATGTCACCTGGATGAGCAAGCCCTGCTGAAAACCAGACCTTCAATTGGATTTCAGATTGCTCCCTGTCATCCAGAAATACCTGAGCCTGACATGTTACAGAGTCAAGTTCTTCAAGGATCCTCCCTGGTTGTTCCAGGTTTCACCATTTACTACAGAAATAGAGGAAAGAATTCTAACAATAAAGCAGTACTTACAGTTAACCCAATACCAATGAAAATACATATCATTCCAATGGTAATATATGCACAGCAGCGTCTTCGTGGAAGGGCACTACCCACGGAGGAGCTGCAAATTCATGAGAGCAAAAGGGGCATTAAATATTCACATGAAAACTTTTCAGAACTCATCTATACCCTTTCAATCATTTTGTCAACATGATCTGTACACTTTCAATTATTTCTTGAACATGATATACAAGAACATGCATAAAAATAGCAATTTTTAACGAGCAACTAGAAATTAAAAAAATGGCAAGGTTATAGTGTTTTAGTGAGAATTTAAATAAACTTCAAGCCTTGCACATTCACAATATTTGCATATATCATTCCTGATATCTACAACCAACCATCAAATCATAAAACTCCTTAATAATCTTAAAAAATATTATTCCAAAATAATCTATTCCAGAAAAGAAATTTGGTATTGTAAACATTTTCTTTTTTTTTCCTGGTTATAATAATACATAGTTGATACAGAATACTTAGAAAAAATAAAAAGATTTAGCATGTTTTCTCCTACTTGTTTCTATTTAAAACTTTTATCAACATATCCCAAGTATTTTCTTGAATTATTAAGTATTATCAAATTGAAATTCTAATAGATTAACATCCAACTATCTAATTTAACATAACCAATACCCTATTATTGGACATAAAGTATTTTCATTATAATGAATAAAACCAGATAAGTAGCATTTAAAAACACTGTACTTATTTTGAGCTCTGGTGACCTAATGGTAATAAGCTGTGCTGCCAACCCTAAGGCATGTGGTTTGAATCCACCAGCTGCTCCATGGGAAAAAGATGGTCAGTCTCTTCTTGTGCAATTTATTGCCCCTGAAAACTCACTGAACGGTCTGCTGTGAGTTGGTTCCAACATGATGACACACAACAACAAGATGCTTATTTTATATACTTTTCTTCAAATAAATTGATAATTCAGGCTATAAGTTTAAAAGGATTACTTTTTTAAAGTCTTTTGCTGTCATACTCCAGCACCTCAACAAGAAAAAGGTAAACCACACAATAACAAAATGGACATAGGATATAAATAGACACTTCACCAAAGAAGACATTCTGATGGCAAACAAATACATGAAGAAATGTTCAAAATCCCTAGCTGTCAGAGATGCAAATCAAAACAACTATAAGATATCATCTCACTCCAGCAACACTAGCAAAGTTCAACAGGGCAGCAAACAATAAATGCTGGCAAGGTTGTGGAGAGATTGAAACCCTTATTCGCTGGCTGGTGGAAATACAAAATGGTACAACTATGGAAGGCAGTATGGTGCTTTCTCAAAACGCTGGAAATAGAAATACCACTCGACCCAGCAATGCCACTAATGGAAATATATCCTAAAGAAATCAGAGCCACAACCCAAACAGATGCATGCACACTCATGTTTATTATTGCTGCATTATTTATTCACAGTAGCAAAGAGATGGAAGCAACCCAAGTGCCCATCAACAAATGAGTGGATAGAAAAACTACAGGACATCCACACAATGGAAACCATATAGCATTGAAAAACAATGAAATAGTAAAATATTACACAATATGGGGGCACCTTGAGGACATGATGCTAAGTGAAATATCTCATTCACAAAAGGACAAATACTGTATAACACCGCTATTATAAAATAGGACAGACATGGGAGGTTGGGGAGGGAATGGGGAAAGAGTGGATAGATAATGAGAATGGCAGTAGAACAGATGAGGGGAAGAACTGTCCAAAAGGATATATGACTATACATTATATGTATGAGAACAATCTGGAACAATTGGTGCATTGCAGGGTGGGATGGAGGAGGGCATGGAAGGGGAAGAGAAAACGTGCAACAATGAATAAAAAAAAGAAAAAAAAATGTCTTCCACACTGTCATCAACAACAACACAAAAAGTTTGTGCTGCCTACGTAAAGTCATGCATTCAAATCCACTAGCTGCTGGATTGTGGAAATGTGTGATCTCTTGCTCATGTGATTTATGGCCCTGCAAACCAGCTGGAGGGTCAGCAATGAGTTGTGGCAGAAAACAACAAGATATTAAATGCACAATGCCAAAAGACCTTTGGGAAACTCATATAAGGATGTATTATCACTGTTAATTGCTGACAAGTCAAGTCTAAATCAAGGCCACTCCATGTATACAGACAGAGCTGCTCCAAAGGGTTTTTAAGGCCATGACCTTTTGGTAACAGATGATCAGGCCTGTTTTTCAAGGCATCTCTGGGTAAATTCAGAGTGCCAACGTTTTGGCTAAGAGTTGAGTACATAAACATTTACACCATTACAGTCCAACACTTTTTCCAAGCAAAAAATTAGCCCAATATTTAATATTATCCCCAAACAAGCAAAATCTACCTCACTTCCACCAAATTTGTCCCAACCTGTAGGAACCATTCATTGTGTTTCTGAGGCTGTAAATCTTAATGGAAGGGGTCTGCCCATCTTTGACTACTGGAGCAGCTAGTAGATTTGAACAGCCCACCTTCTTGTTAGCAATCAAACACATGTGCCACAAGGGAGTTTCCACTGATTTAACCGCATTTAGAATGTGATGAGTGTAAATGATCTTCATTGATGTGGGAAGATCAGAGGCTGTAATTTTTTTTAAAGATTGAAGTTGTCCACTGACAAGAAACGGTAGTATGAAATTCATGCTGGATTCAGAGGAGCACTTAGAATAGAATCTATCTTTACTAATACCAGATAGATTTTGACTGAAAGAAAATACCAGAAAGATGTTTATCCTTGTTTTATTCATTATTAAAATGCATTTGACTATGTAGATTATAATAAACTATAGATAATATTGCAATGAGAACTCCAAAACACACAACTGTGCTCTTCAAGAACCTATGCATAGACCAAGAGGCAGTTATGAGAACAGAGGAAGGAACGCTACATGGTTTAAAATCAGGAAAAGTGCATGTCAAAGTGGATCTCTATCCTTTCACTATTCTTAATATGTAGGTTGAACAAGTAACCCAAGAAAACTGGATTCTATGAAGAACAACATAATACCAGTGTTGGAGTAAGAATCACTGACAAAAAATGCACATGGCATAACCTAAACTGATGAAAGCTAGGAAAATGTGAAACACGTAGTGATGAAGGTCAAAGACGACAACCTACAATGTGAACTATATCTCCACAGAAAACAAAACTCCTCACAACTTCACCAAAAAGCAACACCATGATACAGGGAGCAAAGACTGAAATTATCAAGGATTTCATCCTACTTGGTTCCACAATTAATATTTATGGATGCAACAATCAAGTATTTACACAAATATTAATAAACCGGTAAATATTATATTGAGCAAATCTCCTACAAAAGTCCCCTTTAATGTGTTAAAAAGCAGCTCTTGGAAAGGAGAGTTGAGAGGTGGAAGAGGAAATCACGGACAGCAGACATTAGTGAGGAGATGAGGGGTGAAGAAACAGGTAAGGTGCAATGGGGGCTTGATGAGATGGGGGAGATAAAAGTAACAGGTCAATAGTAATGAATTATATAAAACACAATATACAGACATCAAATGCTGGCGAGGTTGTGGAGAACCTGGAACCCTTATTCATTGGTGGGAGTGTAAAATGGTGCAACCACTATGAAAGGCTGTGCTTTCTCAAAAATTTGTAAATAGAAATACCACTTGACCCAGCAATTCCACTACTGGGAATTTACCCTAAAGAAACATAACTGCCACCTAAGCAGATATATACCCATGTTTATTGCAGCTTTGTTCACAATAGCAAAGAGCTGGAAACAACCCAAGTGTCCATCAACAAATGAATGACTAGAGAAGCTGTGGTATAGTCAGTCACACAATGGATTACTATGCAGCATTGAAAAACAAGGAACTCATGAAATATTATGCAAAATGGATGACCCTGGAGGACATTATGCTGAGTGAAATATCTCAGTCCCAAAAGGACAAATATTGCATAGGGCTACTGTTGTAAAACAGGACTGACATCAGGGTTGAGGGAAGACAGAAAAGGAGGGGAGGAATGATGTATATTGCCTTTAAAGAGATAAAGGAGAAATCTGTTTAAAAGGGATATATGAATGGGTATTCTTGTCATTACAGAAATCCAGAATGAAGGCTGCATAATGGAGTGAACTTTGGGGGAGGAATTCCATAACAATGAAAGAGCTTTTCTTTTTCTTTTCAAGAAGATTGACTTGGGGGGAGAGGTGGGCAGGGAGAAAAATGCAACAATGAATGACTGGAAATCCTAAGTTTCTGTAAACTTTCATTAAAATTAATAAATGAGAGGAAAAAAACAAAACCCCAAACACAATATACAGAAATGATTGTATAAAAATGTACATGAATTAAATAATATATATTAATAATTGTACAAAAAGAAAAGATCCAATACAGACCTGGAACCACAGTACAATAATGGGCATAGATCAACAGTGACTGATTTTATAAAACACAATGTACAGGAATGATCTTTAAAACACAATGTGAGGGAGCTCTGGTGACCTAGTAGCAAGAAGCTGCACTGCAATCCCAGAGGTGCGCGGTTAGAATCTACCAGATGCTCTGCTGGAGAAGGGACAATCTCCTCCTGTAGCAGTCAGATCCAATTTGATGGCACACACACAAATAATAGTAATTTTAAAAACATTTTAAAAATTTAAAAAACCACAATGTGAATTAGGGACTGTGTGAAATACAATGTACATAAATGAAACACAGTGTATACCAATTTTGCATGCAAATCAATATAAAAAATAATTGTATATTGATTTGCATGCAGATATATGCACACCCATGTTCATCGTGGCTTTGTTCACAATAGCTAGGAGTTGGAAACAATCTAAGTGCCCATCAACAAACAAATAGATAGAGAAGTTGTGGTATATTCACACAATGGAATACTATGCTACATTGAAAAACAAGGAACTCATGCAATATTATTCAAAATGGGTGACCCTGGAGGACATTATGCTGAGTAAAATATCTCAGTCACAAAAGGACAAATAGTCCACGGTGCCACTGTTGTAGAAAGTGACTGACATGAGGTTTGGGGTAAGGCTGAGAAAAACTGGATAGATTATGTATACTGAATTGAAACAGATTAGGGAGAGAACAGTTTAAAAGTGATGTATGATAGCATATTATGATTATCACAGGAATCCAGAATTAAGGTTGCATAGTGGAGTGCATTGGAGGCAGGGGCGGAGGGGGGTTGGTTCGGGGCCAGGGTCAGGGGGATTGTATATCAAAGTAGAAGTTTATCTTTTGCTTTTCAAGGAGAGGAACAAACTGGGG